CCCCTTCTGGACCATCTCAGCTTCTCACAGGCAGAGGCCTGGAGGATGAGCATCACTGGAGGCCACAGGACTCGGTCAGAGGCTGGCTGTAGCATCTGCAAAGGCAGAGGCACCGACGTGTTCCCTGTGCAGCCGGCATGGCCTTTCGGGGGGCTGTTACAAAAGACCTTACAAGGCCTTTCCTTTGTGAAAACCTGACAGGCTGCACTTTTCCCCGGGGTGGCAGGGCTGGGCAGAACATGCAGCCTCAGCACGACCTTGGAGGAGCATTTCAGGGCTCTCGGTTCTGCTCTGTGTGTCCTATCCCTGGTCTCTCAGCTGGAGGCTTGGCAGTGGCTGCTGGCTTCTTTCACTCACTGAACTGACAGCCTGGGTCCTCCCAACCCCAGCCAAATATCCCCAGCGCGTTGGGGCAAGGAGGAGGGAAAAGGTGAGTCGGGTTTACTGATTTCATTTCAAGCTGCTGAGATGCGCTGTGATTTCTAAATCCATCAAACCCTTCTCTGAGCTCCCCTGAGACACCTAAGTGGGCTCGATCATCTTGATCCAGAAGGTTAATGCTGCTTTGCATTCTGCCAAGCCCCGCCTTACCCCAAAATGGTCTCTGAGGCAGTGTCTTTGCTACTGCCTGCCTGTTCAGGATGTCTGTATGGCATCCCATGGCATTCCATGGGAATCTGCCTTGCTTTTTACCTGATGCCAGTCCCCCATGCTGCCTTGTCTCAGTCAACTCTGATGTGGAGTGCCAGTTGCTCTCCTGCCACTGTGAGGCACTGCAAGATTCCTCGGTGGCTTCTGGAGCGACATGCTCTGGGAATGGTAGGACACGGAGTTTGGGGAAACTGCACTGTTTTGGACTGGCTGAAGATACATCCAGCCTTACCAAAGCTGGAGTAGTTCCACAGAGCTCCCTGTCCTGCATCCGTGGCACGTGTTCTGGGAAAGGACCACCCTTCCCTGCACCCTGCAAGCAAGTCAGAGCTTTCCCCTACAGTCCATTCTCCTCCAGTGCTGACTGGAGCTGGGATACTCTGATCCTCCACAGGTCTGACTTCTCAGCAAGGCTCCTTGCTCCTTCTTGCATTTCTCAGTTCATACCTTTCTTTAACACATACAAAGCATCTATGGCTGTCACCTCAGTGACTTGCTGTTATTTTCTCAGCACCCCCTGGCAGCAAGGAGAGGGCTACAGTTCCCATTTTACACACAAAGATAGACCAGCAGAGACTTATGCTGCTCCTGGCAATACACCATGGGCTCATGGCAGAGGAGCTCTCCAAGTGGTAGTTCTGGAGCTGCTGGGGTTTTTGCTTGTTTCTTTGTTTGTTTTTCAGATCATTCCTTCCTTAGGCTGTGTACATATAATATGAAATTAACATGGCCCCAAATGTTCCCTGCTGTGATGCTACAGGCAGCTGTGGTGCCGGGTAGCTCATCTACCTTCTGTATTTTATTGTAAGGAGAAATCCCCTGCTTATACCCTCTTCATCCAGGCCACCATCTCCTTGATGTTCCTGTCCCTCTGAAACCAGTTATATTGGTGACTGTGTCCTCTTTTGTTTTCATTTCTCTGTGTGCTAATTCCTCTTTGTCTCGCAAGCTCTCCAGCCCTGCCTTCAGCATTGTTTGCTGTTCTGCGTTGCTGTGTGCATTGTATCCCCCGATCTCTTTCTGGTACAGAGCTTCCCAGAACGAGCTGGGGTTGTTGATCAGGTGAGAGCTCACCATAACGAGAGCTCTCCAAGCCCTTCCAGCACTATGGCTTTCTAGCCAGCTGCCTTTTATTTCCTGTCTTCCCCACTGCACTTGACACAGTCTTGCGCAGTCTTTTCAGGGATCATGGGCAGATTTCACATCATGTGCCAAATGGCATAGAGATTGAGTCTGGAAGCCCAGGGTGAAAGGTGATTGACGGTTTCTTCTCTAGGTGCTCTGAGTCTCCCTGGAAACATGATTTGCAGGTTGTCTTCCTGGCCCTCGGGTGCAGCAGACCGATGATATTTTTGTTAACCCCTGTTGGCCTGGCCAACAGTGTGTATAAAACAGTGACGGTTCTTCTCATGGTGACGTGGTGCTCTGACAATACCCCAGCTCACTGCAGTGCCAGCCGTGGCAGCAACATGGGTTGATACCATTTTTTGTTGCTGCTGCTTTGGACCAAGGAGAATCTTGCTGGGTAATTCGGGCAGCTCTGACAGCCTGAAAGTCTCAGCCAGTACTACCCCCAGGGATGTGTCTAGCAGAATGTTTACAGAAGTTTTTTGTTACTTTCCCATCAAGACTACTGCTGGCAACACCTCCCCACTTAGTCCTCTCCAGGCTTAACTAGCAGGTGGTATGCTTCTCCTCCGAGCATGGAGGGGAACTTCTGATTTTGCCAGATAGGGAAGTTAGGTTTTAGCAACAGTAGCTCCTATTGCTCCTTCTAAATACTGTTCCCCTTACGCAGCCTGCACATTTCCTTGCTCTTGTTATCTTTCTCCTGAGAGCAGCATGACCCACCTGGTGAGCAGGGGCTGGGAGGCAAGGAGAGAACAGTCTAAAGCTATAGTTTTCCCTTGCACTGAGCAGAAGCTCAAGGACACCTGCTGGAGCCAGGACACCTTTTCATGTAAACATCTTTGGTGTTGACTGCAGGTGACAATGCCTTTAGCACATTCCTGGCTTCCCATCATAACTTGAGGTCTGAATCTGGGCCCTGAAGAGGTAAAGGCTAGTGAGTCATATAGACGTGACTGAATCCGGAATGGTTTGCGTTTAATTCTTGGAGCACTGAGTGCGTATTCTTGACAGTGGTCATAATTATTTGTGTTCTAGTTGAATGGGTCATTGGGAACATCACCTGTGAGGTGACAATCTTTTGGATCTTGGATATTTCAAAACATGGTGTGGGAGATGACTTTGAAACCTCAGCTGGTAGAGCCCCCAAGTCCTTCAGTTTGGAGCAGCTTCACAAGGCACCTGTGAAAATCTGTGCTACTTTATTTCACCTTCTCTATTTTCTTTCCAATTTCATTCCTAATGGATGATCTTGGAGGAGATTTTCTTCTTCTTTGAGATGCTCATTCCCTGGCTGTGCAATGATCATCATTGTACCTGTTTGTGGGGATTAACCCTCTGAATCATTAGGGTGCTCTTCTGTTTTCCACCAGGCTTTTCAATCTTATTGTCCGTATCCGGTCACTGTCACAACAACTCGTAGGTATGGCTGATGGAGCTAATAGCCCCCAAGTAGGGTATGGGTTTCTGTGGGTCTGGGTGCCACGTATGCATAGATTGAGAATCAGCTCCTTTCCCACAGAAAGTGTCTGCTCCTTAGGTAAACTACATCTGCTGTATATGGGCAGGATATATGTTCTCATAGAGTCCATATAGGCTGGATGTTAAATCCAGACTCCTGGATGCTGCTCTCAGCTCTGCCATAAACTGTTTGTCACCCTTGGGAATCTACCTCAGCTACTGAGGTACGCACTGTAGGTTTAAAGTTGCCCAGAGGTTTTATGAAATGCAGTTTGCAGGGTATAGCAGCTTATGCTAAAGGGAGAATGGTGGTGAGTCACACTTCTGCCGCTAGTAAGAAGTGTCTGAAACATCCAGGAGCCGGTTTTGTTGTTATTGCAGTGTCTGAGGCCAGAGAGGTTCTGTAAATCAGTCACGTTAGGTGCTTTTTCAAGGTTTGAGCTTCTGTATGAGTCTGGGGGGGGTAGTGACTGATTTAAAATGAGTCTTAAAATCTAAAACCAACAGGGAACTGGTCATGAGCTGGTTCATAACTTTCAAGTCAGCATCATGGGGCTGGGTGAGACCTTCAAGGTGTCCAGCATAAGTACTTTCCTGTCAGTAAGGCCAAAGGGAGACCTGAACCAAACGTCCTGCTCCAGCATTCCTCCCTTCTCTGCTTCCAGGTTTGGCCAGCTTTGTGACCTTTGCTCAGCTCCATTCTCTTACAAAGGCTGGATCCTGCTGCATTTGCATGCATTTCATCCCTCTTCATGCCCTATAAATAGCTATGACCAGTGACTGCTTGGCTCCTCCAAGAGAGGGCAGAGGTGCTGGGACACAGGAGGCAGAGGTGCGCTGGTCCAAGGCTTGCACTGCGTTTGGCAGCAGGTGGGGAAGGCAAGGGAGAAGATGAAGATGGGAAGTCATGGTCAGGTCAGTAGACAGGGAAAGTTGCTGTTAGACAGCAGGATGGGAGTGAGGAGGGTTCATGCAAGTTTAAGGGGCCAGAAGAGGATGTTAAATCAGCCGAGACCGGCTTTTAGTGGATAAGAGATTAGGTTTGGAATGTAGAAAAACAAAAAGGAGGTGACAGAAGGAAGAGGGAGCGGGAGATGATAGGAAATAAAGTCTGGATTACTTTGAATGAAAGAACAGGGCAACAGTGCCTTTCACATATCTCAGATCCCTGATTCCAGACAAGTTTCTGGCAGAGTATCTGTTTTCAGGGTTCAAGATAAGCTTGATGAGAGCCATTTGGCTGGACTGAATGGTATTGTCAAGCATACGAGCGATTCCTATCCATGGGTTTATGTGTAAGAATAAGGAGCTGTTTTCATGATTGATTCAATTGGCTGAAATCTGCAAATTTATACCAAGGAAAGAGTTTCCCCTGGGGAACTGGGAACAAGGTGTCACTTCCCCCAGGGAACTGAAGGTGGATCAGTTGACCTATACACAGTTGTGCACCCTTCCCTCTCCATGTCTGAGCTTGCAGGGCAAACCAGCTGTTGAATGCCCTCTGTCTTTCTGCCAAACTTCCTGACCCTTCCTTCCTAGAGAAAGAGTTAGTTTTCAGGTCCAATTCTCTTTTTATCCCCAGCTTCCTAGTGTAATGCTGCTATGACCCTATTGGGGTCTTTTCTCCATTTTAGTTCTAGGACCAGATGCTGGAACCCAGGTTAAATTCCAGAGGTCCAGGAGGACATGTGGGAACACACAGACCAGGGCAGACATAAACACACGATCCAGAGGGAGAGGGATGTGGTTTTTTACTAGGTGCCAGAGAGGCAAGGAATTCCTTCTGACCTGTGTGGAGAGGGAATGCATGAAGTAGCCTCAAAGCTCAACTGGGCCCAGCAACATCTGCCTCTGCTGTAGGCACAACTTGCAATGAGTTGTTGGCCTTGGAGTTTCCTTCCATAAATGGTGCAGGAGCTGAGCACAGGGAGAGATCAAAAAGACACTGGGAATGGGAGCCTCTGGGCAGATTTTAAGTCAGTGGTGGAGCTGAAGGTGAAGCCCAGGCTTCAGTGGGATGGTGGGTTAGATCTTTTTCTAGCTAGTGTGTGCTCAGAAAGGGAGCAGAAGAGAAGCCTAACCATGGGGTTGAGCTGTCCCCCTGAAGAACTGTAAGATCATCTACCACCTCTAGGTGAAAAGAATGCAAAAGAGATTTAGTGAGGAGTGGTGAGATAGGAAAGCAAGACCCTTGATTATTCGGGGTGGGAGGAAAGGGGGAAGCTGTTCCCTGGTGGACTACAGAGCTGTTGCCACAGGGCTACACGGAAGCAGTTGCTTTATACAATTTTGACAATCCTGCACCATGACAGATGGCACTATGCTGAAGAACCAGCCCTTGTGACAAGTCTTGTAAGGGGGAGCCTCCTCCCCTGTCAGAGATGAAGAGCTGAAGTGATTTGCCCCACATTGCTTAGGAAGCCTGTGGTAGCTTGGGCACTCTCACATCGATTTTTGTTGCCCCGATCTGTGCTCTCCATGGGTTCCTCTCTTGCTTATACAGCTTTGGGGGAAGGCCTGCCTGTGTGTTGCTCTGCCTGAAACTTTGCTGCAGGCTGACTTGCTCTAACTGCTCCAACACCTTCTTTTCCTCTCCAGCTGTTCTGTGTTTCCTGGTGAGTGCTCTGGGGATAACAGCTGGATCTCACCGCCTCTGGAGCCATCGGTCCTACAAAGCCACGCTGCCCCTGCGGATCTTCTTGGCTATTGCAAACTCCGTGGCCTTCCAGGTAAGAACCTCCTCAATGTGCCACTGGTCCTCAGAAGGAAGTGCTCCCCTGAATCCATGTCTCAGGTACAGGGCACAAGCTGATGGAGAGGTTTCTCTCTCCTACAACCTCTTGTTAGGAAACAACCCTTTCCATCTAACACTGAGGTGCTAGCATCTGTCTCATTGTCCTCACCTTGTCTCTTCAGAGGGTGACTCTGAGACAGAGTGGGTGGGGAGAGGACTGTTGGCCAAGACCAGTGGTAGGAAATCTCTCCAAAGCAGGCATGTACCCTTCCCTTCCAGGTGTAGTCTCCCTATGCTTACTCCAGGTCCTGTGAAAGAGGTGTGGAAGTACAAAGTGCTCTCCTGGTGTTCAGGTTGCCTAACCCTCCTCCTGCTGCACACCTGTAAGGGGGGAGGTATCTGCACAGCCCAGGGAGCCACGCTGTGGAATTTGCTGCTGCAGAAAGACCAAGAACTTGTTGAAATGATACAGTTAGGGGGATGCTTGTCCAGTTTGGAGGAGTGATATTTAGGAATAAGTGGTGAGTTATAAGGCACGCCACTGGCTTCCAGAGAGTCATCCCAGGTCGGTGATGTTTCAAGGAGAGAAGGGTTGGGCCCATTCAGAGTGGCACAAGTGACTGCAGACAGCTGATAAGCACCTCAGGGTATTGCCTAAGCACTCACCAGAGCACTTCAGAGTCCACAAAGCAAACAAACTGGAAGTCCTTAGGGATTGTAGAAAGTAGCAGAGATGGCCCTTTTGAAGAAGTTAGAGTGAAAACCCAGATTGGCATGGCACAGAAAAATCCTGATGGTCTCTCAGGTTTGCTGCTGTGAAGCAGCTCTAATGGCACTCCATCCTCCAGCTGTACTTGAAGGGCCTTCATGCAGGCTTGCTCATGTCTAGGAGGTACTCAGGAGGGTGGCAGGGTGCAGCACCTTCTGCTAGAAGGTAAACAGAAAAGTATCGGTGCTGTGCCCCTAAGTAATTCTCCAGCTGAGGCATGGGTGGAGGGTAAAGCCCAAGTGGACCGGGTATTTTAGAGACATTATCTCCCTTTCCCCACTCTGTAGCCATAGAGGGTATCACTTCATTGACAGGTAATCAGAACAGGGTGGGGATGTTTTTTTCAGCCTTTCTAAAACACAATTCACTTTCCTATTCTCTGTTAGTACCAAGCCAGAGTCTTTCATGAGGAGGAGGAAGGACCAAGCTGCTGATTCCAGCTACTGGTCCAGCACTCAGCAAGGGAACAGGATGGGTTGCTGTGTATTGGCTAGTCCCACACAAAGGCCATCTTTCACAGGGTTATAGGGCAGAGGGGGAAAGAATTTGCTGAGCTATTGCTGTAGCGGATAGGAATAGACAAAGATGAGAGACAGACAGATATTTCAGCTTCAATGGGAACTAATCCAAAGTTTTACTGAAAATTCAGTACCATTCCCCATGGATTTTTTTTTTTTTTAAATAGGTGCTTTCAGTGAGATCAAGAGAAGGTTTATTTTCAATTTACCTCATTCCTGTTAGTGGCAGCAGCTCTAAGATCAGACTGGTAACTTTTCAGGCCAGAGAAGACTACCAATTATATTATCTGAGGTCCTCCAAAAAATGCCTGTTGGCTGCTCGGAGACCTGTGGCTTGTGATTTCAGGGAATTCTGCCCCTCATCGACTCCTCCACCTGCAAGACCAGGCAGCTGCAGCACAGCAGAAGCTCTCCTGCTTATAGCCTGTAGCTGGAAACTCCCAAGGAAGGAAGCATTCTCCTAGTCTTTGCTTGCTCGTCTCAGAAAGCCATGATTTTCAGACAAGGTTGCAGTTTAGAGGTGGTCCCAAAATAAGATCTGTAGAAAAGATATGTGCTAAAGTTTGGGTCAAGATTCTGACTCTGCAACTTTGAGACGCCTGATCTGTGTTTGTGCACAGAGTATGGCGCATGAGGTGCTCCAGGTGGGGTATATGGTCTCTTTCCGAACTTGTGCCTCCTACCTCCAGCAGAAGGATTTCCAGGAGACAGCCTCCCCAGATGTGTAAACCCAAGCTCTCTGTCGGCTTTCAGGCTAGGATTTCTCACATTACGTGATGCCGTGTAAGGTCTGGGATGTGAGAGAGACTTTGGGTCACAGGTGAAACATTTCCAGCATAGGTACTGGCTGTGCTTCTCTGCTTACTGGATAGGGAAGGCTGCTGGGCCACCCTCTTCAGAGGGGATGCTGAGTGACCAAGCTCCAGCTAACATCAGTGAGGGCTGGTGATACTTGGAGGTGCTCAGGATTTGGCTGGAAGGAAGGCAGCAGTTCCCAGTATTTGGAAACAAGGGAGAGTTGAATCCTGGCCCATGTCTGTCATTGCCTTATTGCATGGCCTGCAGGTAAATCATTTAATCTCAGTTGAAGGAGGAGTGGCTACAGCACTTGAGAGGGACTTGAGGAGTTGTCTCTCTGCTACAGGCTCCCTGTGTGGAAAAGTAATTTGGTCTTTCCAGGCAAGAAATAGGGATGATAATGCCACCTCTCTACCTTCAAAGTGTTTTGCGGAGAAGTCCTATGTACGTATGAGATGAAGGAGCATCTTCTGTAATACAGGCAACAGAGGTGTGCTTGGATCTCTGTTTCATATTTTCTAGGAGAGTGTAATACACGGCTTTAAGCACATCAAAATCTTGGTGTAAAGGCATGAGCACAGGCTCATTAAAGTCTATTCTTAAAACTGGCCAAAGCAATCATTTCTTAATACAAATGATGAAAGCTTTGATATTTTCCAAACTGTATTGATTTTGCAGCTTAAACAGAACGGTTATGGAGCTGAAGGGGGGTATTTTTTATAATTGTCATTGAAATTGTGTGTTTATTCTATTTCTAAAGAGGGGCCTTCGTTTTAAGACCATTTGATTTCCAAGAATAAAAGAAGTTAAAAAAACTCGCCCCCAAGTTAAACAGATCTGATTTGGCAATCCCAGGAAAAGCAAGGCAGGTTGACCCATGGAAAATGTCAGGGCGGAGGGAAGGGGCAGGTTGATCAATCCCAGCTGGCACCATGTAGAGATGGGGACAAGTGACCAACAAGAGCTGAGCGTGTGAGGGAGGAGGCGACTGGCCAATGAGGGCTGGCTATTGCAGGGGTGTGGGAACAGGCTGACCAATCAGAGCCTGTGATGCTGTAGAGGATGTGCAAATCAAGACCTAAAGGTAACCAATTAAAAAAAAAGAGAAAAGGCAGCCCACCAAAGAAGCAGATTTCAAAGAAAATTGAAGTGGTTGAGCAAAGAAGATCCAACCTCTATTTTAAAAGCCAAAAGCCACAAATTCTAAAGAAAGGTAGAATGACTGATACAAGTTCAGGTCAATGGGATTTAGGCATCTAAATGTTTTAGGCCCTGTTGTTAATTTGAAGGGAACATCTCCAGCCTTGGCCCTAAGTCACCACTCCTGTTGCCTTGCAGAACGACATCTACGAGTGGGTCCGTGACCACCGCGTCCACCACAAGTTCTCCGAGACAGATGCAGACCCTCACAATGCTATGCGGGGCTTCTTCTTCTCCCACATTGGCTGGCTGCTGGTGCGCAAGCACCCGGACGTCATAGAGAAGGGCCAAAAGCTGGACCTGAGCGACATAAAGGCTGACAAAGTGGTGATGTTCCAGAGGAGGTGAGTGGTGAGGTCAGCCCCAGCACAGAGCCGTATGGGATGGAGCAGGGACTCTGCAAATGGGCTGGGGACCCCAAGCACCTTTGATGGAGCATGATGGGATTGAGGGCTTCAGGTGAGGAATGTGAGTCTTTGGTCTGTCCGAGGCTTTGCTGTGGGATGAACCCTGTGAGAAATGAGCTGTGCCTCTCCTATAGGAAGTATTTAGGAGCTAGTGCTACCTCTAGCCCTCCCACACCCCTTTCTTGCCCGCCTACCATGTGGCATCTTGCCAGCGGCGGGCTGAGTTTCCCACAGCAAAGCACCTCCACACCTGCCTGCCTACAGCCCAGCTGCTGCTTTGGCTGGCCCAGAGCCCACCTGCAGGTGCCTCCAGGCCATCCTTGGAGATGTTGTGGTACACCTTCCAGGCCGTGCCTCCGCCCTGCTCCCATCAGTCTCCTGGAAACAGTGTGGTGAATGAAGAGTTGAAAACGGGGACATGAGAGAGGCAGTCACTGGGAAGGACAGTCTTGATTCACTCGTGCCTCTTGGATGGGCTGTCTGTCAGCTGTCTGGAGCTATAGTGGGACTGATCCCCAGAGGAGGCGAGCCTGTCACTAGGGCTGCAGGGATGGGGGACCGAACCCATACGGTAACCACCTTCACTTGGGACGTCCCTAGCTCAGTCCCAGACAAACCAAGCAACTCTTATGGCTTCCCTCCTTTTTGTGCTGGGGATTTTTCTTGTGGGTCGTCAGAGTAGTTCAGCTTCCTCTACTCCCACCCCTCCAGTGTGAGAGACCCTACATGCTCATCTGTTTGATGGCACAAGTGTCCCTTGCTTGCACTTGTTGGTGGGGTGTATTGGTAGGCATGGCCAAGTCTGCAAGGAGTTGCAGCACTGGGCCAGAGGTGAAGAAGGGACCTTCTGTAGGACTCTGCAAGTATGGGGTTGCCTTTATGGGGACCAATAGAGCTGAGAGGCAAATGGAAGATGAGGCCAAAAGCAGCAGCACGTGTCTGGACTCATGGTGATGGGGACATTGCTTTGTGCACGTGAGGTTGAGACAGGGAGAGCTGGACTTTAGTTTGAGTCTCCTGCCCAGTGATGAGACTTAAGAGTCTCCAGGAGTGGCTTCTGCACATCCAGGGCAAACGATGCAGGGCTCAGGGGTGAGATATTTCTGCACTTGATTTTCCCTGTATAGCTGAGCGTGAATCCTCCAAAGGGGGGACTGAGCCAGCCCTTCCTGTCCTGCCTCTGCCACTGAGCACTTTCTTCCTGGTCCCTTCCTTTACAGATTCTACAAGCCCTCGGTGGTGTTGCTATGCTTCACGCTGCCCACTGTAGTGCCCTGGTACTTCTGGGATGAATCCATCGTCATCAGCTTCTTCATTCCAGCCATCCTGCGCTACGCCATAGGGCTCAATGCCACTTGGCTAGTGAACAGTGCTGCTCACATGTTTGGCAACCGGCCCTATGATCAGAACATCAACCCACGGGAGAACCCCCTGGTCAGCCTGGGGGCCCTAGGTACGTTCAGCATCCGTGTCTTTCGCTGCCAGTAGACTATAGAGTGGGGACTGCCCCTTAGGGCTGCAGCTTCTGGGAATTTCTGTGAATCCATTCCCCCCTGCACCCTTCCCCTCCAGCCTTTGCATCTGGGTGTGTTTCCCAGGCGGGCCATTGAGTACATAAGGGCAGTGGGGTTATCAGCTCCCACCCGCCTCTCTCCAGGCTGGAAAGGACTCTGCTACATTTAGCAGCACCTCCTTATCTCAATAGCAATATTTTATTTACCCTGCTCGAAGGTCTTTCTGCCCCGTTCACCAGACTGAAAAACATGTGCTGCAGTCTCTGCTTATCTGCCTTAGATTTGTCAACTTGAAAACCAGCAGATGTACATTTGGACATGTTCTCAGGGCAGCTGGTGATTTTTGGGGGTACTTGACTATGAGACAAGCCAGATCATCTTGTGTGTTTCCCCAAAATTTTGGGGACCTAGGAAGGTACATCCCAGGGTCAGCATTTGCCCTGATCTGTTCTCCCAAGCCCAAATCCCCAGCTGGTTTGCATCAGTGTACACCACTGGGGCTGCACTGATCTCCACCACTGAAGGACCTGCTCCTGGATTTTTTGTAGGGAGGGATTTGAACTGTAGAGACTCAGGGAATAGGAGCAGGAGTCCAGGTGATGTCATTGAAGGGGTGAGCACTGAAGTAGAAGTAGAAGTAGAAGTCTGTTTTATTGTCATCTGGAAATGGCCTTTGGATTTGGCATTAGGAGTGCCAGTGTTATAGGGGTATTGACTGGCCTGGCTTGTTGGGGACTTGCTGCAGATCTAGCAATACTAGAAGGTTTCTTGTGGTGGCAGAGGAAAAGCCATTAGGATTCCCTTGGTGTTTTGGTGCAGCCTGTGAGCCAGAGCCTTTCTTGGTTCCTTGCCACACGCTTGTTTTCGTCTAAAGCACCATAGGTCCTCTGTGACTGTCATTGCCTCATTTGGGCCAGCCTGGGCATGCTGATGGGGTGGATTGTAGAGAGGTGAAATTGGGCTGAGAGAGGAGCCTGGACTCAATCCAGAGCCTGTTTCAGGAATGTGATGCTTTGGGCCAAGAGAAAGGGGCCATCGCCTAGAGCTCTGCAACATCCTCTCCCTGGTCGTGTTTTGCAGGAGAAGGCTTCCACAACTACCACCACACCTTCCCCTATGACTACTCCACCAGTGAGTTTGGCTGGCGCTTCAACTTAACCACAGCCTTCATCGACCTCATGTGCCTCCTGGGGCTGGCCAGCGATCGCAAGAAGGTCTCCAAGGAGGTCATCCTGGCTCGGAAAATGCGGACTGGAGATGGGAGTCACAAGAGTGGCTGAGTTCCTGCACCACTTCACACACACATCCACACCTCTCCTTCCTCCTTTTTTCTCCCTTTCTCCCTCCCTGACCCCTCCAAACACGCTGGACAAAGGTTTAATGTTCTGTTTACTAACTACTGAATAATGCTACCAGTTTGCTTAAGATAATGATAATGAGTTTTAATCCCCCTCCCACGCTGTATTTTACGTGATGTATTTAAGATCTAGGACTCTGCCTTTATAACACAAGGCCACCCCTTTCCCTCCTCTCCTTTCTTTTCCGTTCTTTCTTTCTAGCCCCTCTACCCCGTGTCCTGCTTTATGTCGTCCTGGTCTCCCCCTGGCAGGAGGAGCTGGTTGGAAGCAGCCCGGGAAGGCCCATCGCAGCCGGCTACGTACCATGGAGCTAAGGGAAGGCTCTGCCAGCCAGCTGAAGAGTTGAGCCAAAGTCAGTGACCCTCTCCCCACCACCTTCCCCCCAAAACTCCTTCCTCTGTCCCTCCTCCTTTCTCAAGGGCTGCTGACACATGTGGCATGGCTAGACTGTCCTCCCTGGGAAAAGCAGCCCCATCCGCTTCCCTTGCAATTGGAAAGAGAGTTGTCTCTTTCCAAGGTGTCTCTTGGGAAGTGTTCTCCCCGCCTGCCCCCACCGCATAGCCTCTCTGGCTGGGGAGAGGAGAGCCCCCGGACCCTCTCAGGGCTGCAGCCAGCTCCACAGTGGCCAGGGTGGTCTGGTGGCAGCAGCGAGCCCTGGAGGGGCAGCCTTGGCGGCCTTATTACCTCCTCCCTCTGGCGTCACAGCCTCCCTCCCTGCACTGCCCGCTGTGCCCCATGCAGCCAGGGACTGAAGGCAGAGCCTGGCTCCAGGCTCTGCAGCCCCTCTGGAGAGCCACAGCGAGGAGAGGGGCAGACAGAGGGCTGTGCCGCTGGCTGCTGCGGGGCAGCATCGGCCCGGGGTGGTTTTGTTCGGCACCGCTGCCGAGATTTTTGCCAGCAAACACAACTTTGCCAAAATGGAGAGGGGGGAAAAGGATGTAAACCAAAGCTCCACCACTGAGTTAAGCTGCTTTATGTGCTGGAGGAACAGGGTCCCTGCTGGGTGGCAGGTGGATGTCCTGGTGTCCGTGCTCGCCCTGCGGATCCGCATCCTGTGCTGAGTGCAGGGACGGGGCAAGGGAGCGTCTGCCGGCATAGGGAGCGGTGAGGGTGTCCAAGGGAGCAGGCCTCCCCATCCTTGCGGGCTCTGCTCGGTCAGTAACAAGTGCCTGAGAAACACCCATGCGGGGCCAGGCAGCACAGGGGCCTTGAGGGAGTTGAGACCTCTGAGACGAGACAGTGCCGCCAGTGTGGGCCACCTCCGGGCTTTCGGGCCCAGGGTCCACCGGGGTGGTTCGCAATTCCCTGCTCCTCTGAGGGACTAGGAGGTACTCCTGAGGGCG